CGGTCCTTGGCCAGAAGCTCAAAGCTAGAAACCAAAGCGGGGAGCACTCAGACTCCTTAGTCCAAACCAGCTGCACGTCTGCGCACCCCACTCCACCTCCATCGGGGTCTCTCAGATTGCTGCCCACTTGAGCTTGACATTTCTCTGGAAGAAACTGCACCTGACATCCTACAGAGTTAGACGATCCCACCAAAGCATGTCATGAACCCATCCCCTTCTCTCTGGTTCCACTTCGACTACCCTAATCACTGTGACTACCACCTTTCACCTGGATTATGGCTTGCTTCTACTCCTTGCAATGCGTTTCCCCCACAGAAGTCAGAATGACGCTGGTAAACGTGACTCAGATGCTTCCCTGAGCATCTTCACACCTCAACTCAGCTCCAAGCCCCTTCTCAAGCTCACTGACGCCTACCAGCCACGGCCTTGCCCTCATCTCATGCTTCTCCCCCAGCAGTCCACTACCTTCTGGCACACTGGTCTCCTCTGTTCCTCAAACACAAACTCATTCCCACTCCACAGCCCTGGCACTGGCCTTGCCCTCTGCCTACAATGCTCCCTGCCCAACCCCGACTTTCCCATGGCTGGCTCCTTGTCATTCAGACCTCAGCTTAAACATCACTTCCTGGGCTCTTCCTCATTCCCTCACGGGCAGAGCACCCTCTGTGAACCCTCCTAAGCGTTACTTATTATTCTCTGCTGTTTACATGTTCATCTATTATCTGCCTCCTCCACACAACCCTACTAGAATGTAAGTTCCAAGGGATCATTGTTTTGTGTGTCTTTTTCTTCACTCTAAACCCAATACTGGATCAGCGCCCAGAGCAGTAAGAGGCACATAATTGGGAATCCAATAAAGACTTAATGAAATTAGATGAATGCGTGCCACAGATGACAGAAGCCTCAAAGGCTGCGTCAAGGCAAGTAGCCCAGCACTGCGGCTAACATCCTGGGCTTTGGAGTCAGACGCGGATCACTGATTCTTGCAGTCAGGAGTTGTAGGAGTTCAGGCAAGTTTTCCCACTTCTCTAGGCCTTATTTATCTCAACTAAAAAGGGGACAACAGGACTTCCCTGGTGGCGCAGTGGTTAAGAATCCGCCTGCCAATGCAGGGGACACGGGTTTGAGCCTTGGTCCGGGAAGATCCCACGTGCCGCGGAGCAACTAAGTCTGTGCGCCACAACTCCTGAGCCTGTGCTCTAGAGCCCGCAAGCCACACTACTGAGCCCACGTGCCACAACTACTGAAACCTGCGCGCCTAGAGCCCATGCTCCGCAACAAGAGAAGCCACCGCAATGAGAAGCCCGTGCACTGCAACGAAGAGTAGCACCCACTCGCCGCAACTAGAGAAACCCTGCATGCAGCAATGAAGACCCAACGCAGTCATAAATTAATTAATTAATAAGGAAAAAAAGAAAAATAATATTAAGGGTGGGGCGGGAATGTGGGGAGAATTAAAGGAGATAAACCATGTGGAACGCCTAGAACAGGGCTCACCACAGACGAAATGTTCGCTGTCATCAACTGCAGCCCCATCTTCCAGGCGGGAAAACTGAGCCTCAGAAAGGTGCATGCGCGTTCGCCCAAGTTAGACACTGAGTTAACAGCAGAGTCAAGTTAGAAAATCTCCTTTTTAGTCTCTGTCCACTGCTCCACAGACCAGTTATTCCTTAGACAATAATGATAACAAAAATACCTGATATCATGTCATCGATTTATATATTCTGCCTTGTTCCAGAAAAAATCTGAAGTACCTGACAAAAGATGCACACCGTTCATGATTTTTTTAAAAATAATAAAATTGGGAAGGGAGATGGAAAAATAAGGTGAAGGAAAGGGACAGAAATGTAAGCCATATGTCTCATACCATTTGCTAGAGGTGGGCTTCACATTTGGCTCTGAGCTTCCCAGAGGCCAATATAAACCAGAGGGAAATACCTGTGTACATATGGTCCTTGGGAACACTTGGTTACTGAAATGTCACAGCACTGTGTGAGGAGGTGTCACCACCCAGGTGAGAATCACCCTGGTTTTTCACACTCTTGCCAGCTGAATTCCACCATCTGCTTACTCCTGATCACATGCACTCTAAAGCCACACGACCTGGGTTCAGATCCCAGCTCCACTACTGACTGCATGGTGTTGGACAACTTATTAACTCCTCAAAGCCTCAGGTTCTTCCGCTATAAAATGGAGGTAAAAAATAGTACCTAAATTAAATGTGGTGGTATATATACAATTTATTACTATTCAGCCATAAAAAAGAAGGACATTCTGACAAATGCTACAACATAGATGAACCTTGAAGACATTATGCTGAGTGAAAGAAGCCAGTCACAAAAGGACAAATACTGTATGATTCCACTTCTGTAAGATACCTAGAAAATTCAAATTCTTAGAGACAGAAGGCAGAATGATGGCTGTCAGGGGCTGGGGGAGGGGAAAATGAGGAGTAAAAGTTTCATAGGTACAGAGTTTCAGTTTTGCAAGATGAAAAGCATTCTGGAGATTGGCTGTCCAATATATGACTGTACTGAACACTACCGAGCTGTACACTTAAAAACGGTTAAGATGATGGGGTTTCCCTGGTGGCGCAGTGGTTGAGAGTCTGCCTGCCAATGCAGGGGACGCGGGTTCGAGCCCTGGTCCGGGAAGATACCACATGCTGCGGAGCAACTAAGCCTGTGCGCCACAACTACTGAGCCTGCGCTCTAGAGCCCGCGAGCCACAACTACTGAGCCCGCATGCCACGACTACTGAAGCCTGCGTGCCTAGAGCCCGTGCTCCGCAACAAGAGAAGCCACCGCAGTAAGAAGCCCGTGCACCGCAACAAAGCAGAGAAAAGCCCGCACCCAACAAAGACCCAACAAAGCCAAAAATAAAATAAATAATTTTTTTTAAAAAATGGTTAAGATGGTAAAAATCGTTACGTGTATTCTACCAAAATTAAAAATACAATTAAAACAATAGTACCAACTGAATCACTTTGCTGTACAGCAGAAATTAACACAACATTGTAAAGCAACTATACTTCACTCAAATAATTTTTAAATAAATAAGTAAATACCCCCCCAAATAGTACCTACTGACAGGTAGCTGTAGTGGTGAATCAATGTAGGTCAAGTGCTTAGCCCAGTGCCTGGCGCCCAGAGAGCAGTCAGTGCATGTCAGTTCTCCTTATGGGCAGTCAAAGCATTCCCATTGGTACTACCAACCCTAACCTCTTGGTGCCCATGGTCAGCATCACAGCGGGAAAACATCCCAAGCCTCCATGCTTCAAGGTAGGCTCCTCCCACCTGGTGAACAGAGCCTACAATCACGGCCCAGGCACAGCGGGTAGGAGGAGGTGGGGTGCGCGCAGGTTCCCGGGAGGGAAGTCCCTGTCTCTTCTCCCCCGTGCTTCAGAGCCGCTTAGAGAGCTGCTTCCCCTCCCTTCCTCACCGACCACACAAGCTCAGGTGTCAGGGCACTTTCTCCCCACTATTGTGATCTGTCACCTAACGCCATGGGCATCAAAGCACTTCTCCAAAACACATCTCCAACATCTTTCCTGCACTAGAGAAAGGGGCCCCCAAGCTGATCAGAAACTGATCTGACTACGAAGAGTTACTCATTAGGGCCGTGTAACATCGCGGGGACTGTAGTGGGGTGGTGCCCTCCTGGTCTCTGTCGAATGCTGCTGTCACATCAAAGAAGGCTAAAGAAGTCTGTGTGTGTGTGTGTGTGTGTGTGTGTGTGTGTGTGTGTGTGTGTGT